GACCATCAGAGCTGAGTCTGAATTTGGCTCTACCACTTAACTGAGAGGTACGTGCTCTTGAGCATGTAACTCTCTGTGTCTCAGTTTCCTAATCCCCCAAATGGGGTAATAACAATACCCGTCTGGCAGGGTCATTATGAAAACTAGAAGAAGGAATTCAAAGGCTAGTAAACTGAGGAGCTTACTAAATGCCAGCTACGATGAGGATGCTGGAAGGAGGAGGAGGGAGACGACAGGATATGAACCAGAGGAGGAGGGAGACAGGCCCGAAGAGGAACAGGAGGGGGCAGAAGAGACTCCCGGTAACGATTATGAGACAGTAACCAGGAGGTCACAGATGAGAATGATGAGGAGGAACCGAGGGTGGTGGTGACATGAGCCCCAGTTCCTGGGCACTTCTGACCCGAGGCAGGGGAGCAAAGGTTGGGATGTGGTAATGGGGAATTAGAGGGGGTGAGAGGCACCTTACAGAGATGGCTGCAAAGGGGACGGTGTCCCAGGAGGGGTCATCTCGGAGGTTTCGGAAGGGGACTGTGGTGGGGAGGGACCAGGGACTGCAGCTCAGCAGGAAGCTCATCAAGCAGCAGAGGCCCCGGCGTGCCCCAGCCTCGCCACCGGTCCAGGGGCCCTGCACTGAGTCTCCCCTAAGGTGGGTGGTATGAACACTGAGCCCCTCTGGGCAGAACCCATCCCAAGCATCCCTCTGCATCCCCCTCAGGCTTGGGACAGAACACGTTTAGGTGCAGATGAAATCTGATCCCCGTCTCAGGCCTGGTTCAACAGAGCCCCCTCTCCAGGGACCGGCGGCCCTGCGCCCCCGGGTTTCCCAGACAGTCAGCACACCTGTCGTGCCCTTCCCAGGAGGCGCTGGGTTTCTCTGTCCTCTAGGCCTGCTCTCCAACTCCGCTTCCAGGTCAACGCCCGGGTCAGGGCCTACAGCCCAGACAGACAAACGCTTCACTCCCTGGTGTAGCTGGACTTTTCAAGCAGCCAATACCACCAACAGTAATAAAAGAACGAATACCTTCGATACTGGACATGGAGAGCACTTACTAAGTGTCAAGCGCTATGACAGGCACTTGTAAATTTCATCGGGTTGATTTTTGGCCAGTACAAATAATGACAGATGGCAGTGCCGCTCCTTTTTCACAGGTGAGGGGCCTAGGTAATTTGCCTGAGGTAACCAGGCTGAATGACAGTGTCCACATTTCAACCTAAGTCTACTGCCTTTTCCTCTTTAACCATGCTGTCTCTTCCAAATTGAGGCCTAGTTTCCCTATGCGTGAATGTGGGGCCCTGACCAGCTTCCTAAATCCCTCCCTCCTTCCCCAAGGAATGAACTATAGCTGGAAGGTCAGGCATGTGTTAAGACTGTGCACAGGTCAAGCCGAAACCCTTGCCCACTCCCTTTTCCATGCTGGGCTGGAATCACTCCCATACCAACCTGGCCCAGGCCTCCAAGCCTCACTGAATTGATCACCAGTCAGAAGTCCCTCAGCAGTGAGGCCAGTTTTCCAGTCTCAGGAGTGAGGATGAGGAGGGAAAAGGAAGAGCAGGCAGCCAAGGGGACTGGGAGAGCAGCAGCTCTTTGGGACCTCTGAAGCCCTGGGTTACCAGGTATCTCGGGGAGGGAGGTGGGAAATGCATGGCTGCTCTGCTGCTCACGTGTCCTGTCCTGTCTGGGCCCTGGGACAGCAGATGGGAGCCTCTGGCCTTGACCAAACATCAGGAGGAGGCCACTCAGGCCACAGCACCCACCACACTGCATTACAACTCTAGTTTCAGGACTGTGTCTCCCATTAGACTGTGAGCAACTATGGGTCCAAGACCGTGTTGAATTCATCTCTGTATTCCTGGGGAGTGGCACAGTGCCAGCATAGACTCGGTGACGCCTGGCAGATGAGCGAGTGGGTGGGAAGACGGAGCCAGGTGTGTATTTCACAGGGGCGCCGAGGGTTTACAGGAGCTGGAGGCTGCCCCCCTCACCACGGTCTTACATACACCTACACCTTCACGTCCCGGGTTCCACCCTCCCTCCACACCCGGCTTCCCCACTCAGCAGCCCACTGGTGCTCTTCTGACCTGTTCCAAATGCACGTGACCTGCTCGCTGGCTTAGTCAGGGCTCCTGGGATCTGGGAGATAAAAGGCCTTTTGGTAACTTATTCGGAGTTACTGGTGCTACTGTTGAGTGAATCAGGGAACCAAATGCCCACAAACAGCTAATGAGGAGGGTCTGGTGTGGGTGAATAATACAGCCAGGCCTAACATAGGCTGTTTTGGAGTTTGGTCTTCCTTTCCCACATCTTTCCACATCCGGTCAGGACTCCTGGGTACCAGGAAATTACACTCAATGAGCAACTGCTCACATAGCAAGCAGCAGGCAGCAGCCATGACTGACTGACGCCGAACACCTGTTTCTGCCCTGCCCAGCTAGGCCTTGGCTCCTGAACATAGATCTGCATCCTGCCAGAATTTTACAGGTGAGGCTGCAGACAGGTGTGGAGAGCTCTCCAGCGGCTGCATGGTTAGAAACATCACTGCAGGAGCAGGTCAAGCCTGCAGCTGGGCACCAGATGGGAGGGGCCTGGAGAAGCTGCCTGTCCCACGTTTGCCTGGGTCTCAGAGCCAGAGAAGTGAAGTAGAGCAGAGGGGTCCTTTGAAGGCATTAGCCCTGGGCTTGGGTGGAGACGGCTACTCAGAAGAAGCTTCCTGGGTAGCCAGAGGGTCTGGACAGACCCCCTCCAGTGCCAAACTGGTGAGGCCATGGGCATCATTGCCTTCTCTCTGGCAGCTCATTCTAAAGACCCAAATTATCTTTGACATTAGAGCCAGGGAAGGCTCACAGAACTTCGGAAGACTCCTCCCTGTGTCCTCTCTCCTCCCCACTCACCCCACCAACCCCGCGGAAGGCAGGGATCAACACGAGTCTGGTCCTCAACTCCTGGGCATGGCCTGGATAGGACAGGACAGAAGCATCGGCACAGCTGAGCATGGGCCTGAGCACAGCCCATACTTCCTCACCCCAACTGCTCTAGTACCTTCAATCAGCCTGCCGCCAAGGCCAGGCCACGCGGCGAGCTCCTCAGTCTTCCTGGGGAAAGTGAGGCCCTGCTGTCTGCTCCCGGAGTGGCCGGAGCACAGTGCGAGTTTTCTGACTCTAGTTGACTCCCTTCCTTTTCTCCTTTCTTTCCTTGCTCCCTTGGATGGATAGTAAGAGCCCTGAGTTAACTGACCTTGACATTCTTAGAAGGAATACATGACAAGCCCCCCAGCTGGCCCTGGCCCACCCTGCCTGCCTCCTGACTGGGGCTGCCTGTCCTACCTCGGGGGAAGCAGGGCCTGGTGTGTGGGCCAGCTCTGATCATTTATGGTGGCTGGGCAACAGGAGGGTAAAAAAGGCAGACAGGACTGGGTCCTGCCCTCTGGGAGCGCCTGTGACAGGTGGGCAGAGGGAAGGAGGCCAGGGTGGCAAAGCCGCCTCCAGGGTCCCTGGGGTTCTCCAAAGTGGACCCAATTTGTTCCCATTTCTCCCTTAAAAGTGCCTACCTGTGATCCCAGTTCTACTGCCTTCAAAGCAAAGCAAAGCAAAGGGCTCTGAGGACACCAGTGCCTCGGGCTCTAGTGTTCTAAAAACAGAAGTGCTCCCTCAGTCGCACTCTCTGCCTGGTTTCCGTGGGCAGCGGGGGGGCCCACCTGCAGCTGGGGCTGGATGAAGCCAAAAACTTCCTCCCCTTTGGTGAGCCAGGCTGGACCCAGTGGAGCCTGGCCACCTTGTTCAGCCTGGTTCTGAGGTGGGCTCCCCTTCCCTACTGTCCCACCTCCCTGAATTCCTGACTTTCTGTCTTCACTCTCGCTTACCACCTACCTGACACTGCCTGCATTTGGCCTTGCTTGGGAAAGGGCTGTGGAGTTCAACCAAATTGCACTGAGACCTCCACAGGCAGGTTAAGCTGTTCCCATCCCTCAATTCTTCTCTAAATGTCCATAAAAACTAGCTTCTTAGTGTGGGCGGAGGGCTGTCTGTCACCATTCTCCTCTGGTAGGAGGCATGGGTACTGGAAGATGAATGGCGTGAACTCTGCAGTGCCCCTCCCCTGGGGTGGCTGGTGACAGCTGGTTGAGGGGAGGGAGGATTGGGCCTGGACAAGTTGGCAGGCGTCCCTACGGGCCCAGAGCTGAGATACAGAGGTCTCAGGAAAGGGCTCAGCGTGTGGTCCGCTAAGGAGCGGCCTGAGCCTACTTGGCCACATGCACTCCCTAAAGAAACAGGCCCGGCCCTTGCCTGTCTAGAACAATGAAGACAGAATCTGGTTGTTTCCAGAGTGGGATGACTCAATGGCAAGTTGGGGACCCAACTGCAGGTCAGTGGGAAATGCAGAAAGTAGAGCGAGGCCAGGACTTACCCATGAGCTTGGGGAGTGGGCCCATCAAGTTGAGGGGTCTACAGTCCCTGCAGAATGGCCCCAAGGTCCAAATAAGGCCTTCTGCCTTTAGCATGAGGTTGACCCATACAACCAGAGTCAGAGAGACCTCACAGAGGTACGAGGGGTTGAGGAGGCAACTACAAGGTCAGGTTAGGAGAGTGTGAAAATCTGGAGTAATGCTAGGGCTAGCCACATGAGAGCGTTTCTCACCAGGGGATCTAAAGCCAGAGAAGGGCCCATGGGGGCTGTTGGGGAGGGACTTGGGGTCCGGGTTGGGGCATGGCCACACAAGGCTGAGGAAGGACCACGTAGCCGCTGGAGAGCTCTCCGCACCTTGATATCTGAGGCAGGTGGCAGATACTAAGCATATCAGCTCCAGAAACCTGGGCCAGTCGCTCTTGAGATCTGGCCTCTCTGTCCCTCAGTTGAGTTTGGGTGTCTTTCAACTTTGGATCAATAATGCTTCTTTTGAAAGGTTCTGCTCTGTTCTTTGCTGGGTTCACGGAAGGGGCTGACCTGGAAGCTGGACAAGGCCAGGGCAGAACGGGAAGGAATTGGTGCACAGGGAGCTCACCACTCTCTCCTTGTAGACGATGTACTTCAACCACTTGAAGTCCTGCCACTTGAAGCCAGCGAGGACGAAGAGAGAATCGCGTTCATACTGCTCAGGCCGCTGCATGGCGCCCTCTGGGTAGGTGATGCGCAGTGTAGTTTTGCTGCCCACGTCCTTCTCAAAGCCTTTCACTGGTGCTGAGTTCAGTCTACAGAAAGCAGGCCCAGTCAGAGCCTGCCTTGGGCTCACTGCATGTGGTCTGTGGGTCTATGTTTGGGGAAGCACTCTGAGCCCAGAATACCCCAGGCAGAGAGAGTAAGGAGCCCAGGTCACCTGGAGCCATCTAGCTTTCCATTCTAAAACCTTCCAACCCAGGGTTCTTCTTGAGACCTCTGCTGACCTCCAGCCCAAATGGACAGATCATCAGACAGCTCTCTCTGGGCTTAAGGACCAGGGTTTGGGCCAGGACATGCAGCTGCCTGAGGCACTGCTTTGAGGAGCTCACCTGACCACAATGTCATAATCATCAATTCGTGACCCCAGTGACTTGTTGGCAAGGACACCTCCGTTGCCCACGATGATGCAGCGGCGGCAGCTGAGGCTGAGGGGAGAGAGGCAGAGACCTCTGGAGAGCTGTCTACCCGGTATCCTCGTCCTCTACCCCTTTGGCCCTTGACCCCATGCCCTTGACCAGGCACAGGCTGGGATAGAGGAAGAAGACTGACTGGCTTCTGGCAGCATTTCCAAGGACAGGCCAGCACCCCACTGTGGGGAGCCGGGTCACTTGGAACTCTCAGATCCCCCACTCCCTAACACCTCCCCAGGAAAACATGGGAGAGGAAAGGGCTCAGACACTCGCTCCGTGGAGGTGACAAAGGAGGCTCTGGTAAGATGGTGCTCTGGGTAAAAGATTCCTCAAGAGTTAGTGGGGTTGAGGCAGGTTTTGGGGGAGAGGGAAAAGAGGGCTGAACTTGAGGGCTGTGCCAGAAAAGCAAGAACAGAGAAATGGGCTGGAGGCGCCAGGACTTAGGGCTGGGATCGCACTCAACTAGGAAGCCTCCATGCTCCCAACAGCCATCAGGGAACCCTACTCATTTTGCTCTCCTGCCCCTGATCCTGGGGTTTCTTCCATCCAGTGTCGGTCGGCTTCAGAGGCACCAGTGCCTCCTGGATGTAAGCCACGGCCCCTTCAGCTGCCCCTGCCATCTAGCTCCTCCATCCCAATGGTGGGCATGTCCCAGCCCGGTGTCTTCAGTTCTTACCCCGAGACCTCTGCTGTCTGAGGGCTGAGAGGTCTTGCCAAGAGCTTAAAGCCCATGGGTGCAAGCCCAGCTAGATGCCCCACTTCTCTGCTCGCCCACCACAGCGTGTGCACTGTGTGCGCGTGTGGACATGGTGAAGAATTTCCTGGTGTCCAGGAAAGGTCAGGTGGGCCTCAACGCCTCTCCCTGTGCCAGGCAGCAGAGAGGCAGGAGGCTGGGCAGCAAGGAGCCTACCTGTCCAAGGCAGGTGTCAGGCGGTACTCTTTGGTGACTGACAAGATGGCTTTGATCAGATTGTCTGTGGATAGAGGAGGGAGGTTACTGTTAGAAGGTCACTCAAGTTCTTAGAAATGTTTCCCAGTGAGCCAGTGTGAAGGCATATGTTCCTGGGGCCTGGGTGGAAGTGGGGAGAGGGAGCTCTGGGCATAAGGCCAGCCAGGCTGCTGGCTTAACCTTCTCCCTGAAAAAGGAGATGGGGGCAGAACAGGCAGGTACACTTAGCTCTGCCTGGAGCCAGCTCCCCAGCCAGTCCTTGGTAGTCTCGTTTGGCTTTGGGGGCCCTGCAGTCAGGCCTGGGGCTTGGCCAGAATGGGAGCACCTGCTCGGAGACAGAGACCACATCGTGCACATCTCTGTGCCCCTGCTGAGCAGACACCAGGGAGCCAATGAGGAGACAAGCAGTGATGAAGACCAGAGTGGTCCCAACCAGCTCCCCCAGCCAGGCCACTCTGCCTCACTTCTGATAGTCTTTCCCTCACCTCCTCCTTTGAATACTGCCTATCTCTAATCCTGCTTTTGCCAGGCTGTGCCTACCTCCTTACCTCTGCAAGCCTACAGCCTGGCATTTGCCTACATGTACTCCCCTGAGGCCGCCCTCACCAGGGGCCCCTGACCTCTGTGCTCTCAGATCCCGTGCCCACTAGTTGGACTGCATTCTCCTTGGCCCCTCTCTGGCTTCTGCAACAACTGCTCTCCTTTCAAATTCTGGTATAATGAGAAGATTATAATATAATGTATGATAATATTGGTTTTAGAGTTAAATCCTGGCTTTGCTTCTTAAGACCTTGGATCAATCACTTATTTTCTTAGTGTTTTAAGTTTCCTTATCTTTCAAATGAAAATCGTAATTTCTACTCTGTGGAGTTGTTAGAAAGATAAACACAAAATGTATATAAAGATTTACATATAAAGTAAGTAAATCAGTACAACCACAGTGGAGAGCATCTTATTTTAGCAAGTAAAGACACAGACGAGCCCACTCCTCGGTGGGCAGCATCAAACTCTCACGCATTTGTTTGAGGAGGACTTGCACAGGAATGCTTACTGCAGAACCGCCTGTAATAGCAAAACACTGGAGGCAATGTAGATGTCCACAAAAGAAAACAGATTAGATGTGCTATGTTGACTACTACAGAGCAATAGAAAAAAAATTGATGACCTAGAGCTACATGTATCAGGACTGATAAATCTGAAAATCAAAGCAAAAATATCAATTTGAAAGACACACAGATATTACTATTTGCAAAGTTTAGATATATGTAAAAATGCCATATATTTAATAAATATATACATATGTGGTAGAAACATAAACTGGCATTGGAATGGTGGCTCCAAAACCAAGATAAAGGTCTCCTGGGGAAGGAGGGGAAAGGAGTAGGAAGGGCCACACAGAGCTTTAATTCTATCTCACATTTTATTTCTTAGGCTGAGTAGAGAGTAAATAGATGCTCATTAAACTAGTTTTTATACTTTTTTTATATGTCTAAAATATTTCATGTTAAAAAAGAATGCCCCCAAATTAAAAATAGCCTCGTAATTTTTTAAAAGATGGGATGAGTAACAGTGTCAGATGTATCTGCAAGGTCAAGGCAAGGACTGGGAAGTATCCTCTGCATCTCACGGGGACACTGCCACTTCCCTGGGGTGGCCGAGGACAAGCCATTCGTCAGGAGTAAATGGTGAGAAAGGAGAGACAGCAGACAGCTAATCTTTCCAGAAGCTGAATGAGAATAGGTAAGGAAACCAATCTTTAAGGAGTGTTCTACCCTAAGTGTCTTCAGATATCCTTTATGGTGGGCTTCAGGGAAGACCGTAGGCACCCTCCTTTTTCTCACCTTCCATTTCGCCTCTGAGGAAAAGCATATTGCCACTAAGTGGCCAAGGTAAAGGATACAGATTGGGTTTTTGTTTTCTAGATGGGGAACCTTAGCAGAAAGGGGATCAACTTCCAGGTGTTCTCTTCTTGCTGGCTGATGTACTGGCTCTGTACTGGCCTTTCCTGGCCTTTGCAGCTTAGTAGAATCAGAGTGCTGAGTGAGAATTTAGGAGAAAAGAGTAGACTGCTTGCCTGTCTGCACTGAGGAAAAAGGAGTTCTTCACGTGCTTCAACCCAATCTACTAGATCTGCCCTTGGAGGTTTGAGGTCAAACCTTCTGTCTTTTTGCTGGCCACTGTCTCCTTTTCATGGAGAGGTGGCCTGGCTGAGCAGAGGGGTCAGGTACTCTGGGGTCTCCTGGTCACATGATGGTACCCCTTTAACAGTTATTTAATTCTGACTACAATCTAACAATTTCCTCCATTTAACTGATGAAGAAACTAAAGCACAGACAGGTTAAGTAACTTGTTCAAGGTCACAGCTAGTAAAAAGATAGTACTGGGATCTGACCCTTCTGTGCCTGACCCTAAAGCTCATAGTTTACCATGCCACGAAACAGAACAGGCACCTGACAAAGAAACAGAACTTGTTAAACTATCAGGGACAGGAAAGTCGTAAGGTAGGATGCGCCTGCATGAGTGAGGTCCCTCAGGCAACGGAAGCAGACACTTCCGTAAGTATGGGGGAAGGCTGGCTTTGTACAGGGAAGGAGAGGCCTGGAGGTGAGGGACAGCAGGAGGGGGTGATGGAGGAGTCACAGGCACTCGTGGGCGACGGCCTCTACTTTCTTCAGGATTTCATACTCAGTCCTCCAGCACTGACATCTCTGGCTCCCTTTGTCCTGTGATCTCACAGCACTGTGTTCTAGCCACATCAGATCGCTCACTGTCCTGCACTCTAAATGTCTGTCTCCACTAGACTCGGGGGACAGGGACGGTGACGGTCTACTCTACTGTTGTGTACCTAGTCCCCACAAGATGGTGGGCTCTGAGTGAATATTCCATTAAAGAAATGAGAAAAAAAGACAGGAAGGGGAAGAGAACATAAAGCACTGCTGGGAGTGGGGGAGGGGTGGATCCCAGCACGGCACTCCTGAGGGTACAGCCCTGTCCTGACGTACAGGGAGACAGTCTAGAAGACAGGAAGTTACAGGTAGAGAGAGTCAGGGTTCCCAACATACCTTGACCTTTGATCCCAAAAGGCGGCACAAATTCGCGGATCCTAGCCCACTTGCGGAAAGAGTCGTCCAGGAACATGGGTGCTGGCTTGGAGAACCTGGAATACAACAGGGCTGTTGAGGGTCCCCAGATGCGATAGGTGGGAGTGCTGGCTGGCTCTTCCAGTACTGAGCACTGGCTGGAGTGCTGGAGTACTTTGGTCCAGCTGTCTCGATTGGCTGTGCTGGAAGCCACCTTCCATGTTCCAGCCTACCCTTCCTACCCCAGCCTGTCACTGGGTAGCTGCTGCGTGGGGTTGGATAGACCTTGTTCAGCAGAGCCTGAGTTTAAAGGAGCAGGCCCAGCCGGTCCTCATGTGGCCAGATACATGAGTGGAGAGGCAAGACCTGTGAATCAAGGATCAACATTTTCGAGCTGGAAACTCTGGCAGGTTATCCAGGCACGCATCCATCAAATAGTCCCTGCTGCCTCCACTGTTCCTGCAACGCGGGAACACAGAGATGAGAGACACTGTCCAGTGGAGCAAAAAAATAACCCCAAAACAGCTAGTGCAGGCACCCAGAATTCGGGAGAGAATCCTGAGAGAGTGGACCGGCCAGGGTGAGGAGGACAGAGCATTGATGATGAGGGGCAAAGCAGGTGCAGAGCCACAGGAGACAGAGGTCTGGAAGAGAAGGGAAAAACTGCAGTACCTGGAGGCTGGGAGGCAGGGCAGAGGGAGGCTTCAGAGAGACATGCAGGAGCCTAAGAACATCTCCTGGCAGAGAGAAGAACAGAAAGAATGCAGAGCTCTTTGGGAGCTGAGGGACTGGTGCAGAGTTTAGGAGAAGGGATAATCTTGGCCTAGAGGAGAGATGGGTAGGGAAAGAGAAGAGAAAGAAGGAAGGGTGAAGTGATGCTGAGCCGAGGAGAAAGGAAAAGGCAAGTTTCTCTTTTCCTGAGAAAGCCGAAGAGTGAGCAGGGCAGGGTGCAGGCCTGGGGAGGCCAGGACAAAGTCACGCAGGACGCAGAGGGGAGTGGGGGGAGGGTGAACAGGTACAGGAGGAACCAAGCGCTACAGAGATGCTTGGACGCAGGACTTCACATGGAGCCCAGCACCCTGGAAGGCAGCCGGCACCTGGCCACCCGCTGCGCACTGAAGCGAGTTGCTGTGGGGTCTGCTTAGGGCCTTCATGCCAAGCAGGGAAGTGCCAGGGCCTCGGCCTTGGGTGGCTCTGTCTCTTTATTTCTAACTCAGCTGAATCAGCCACTGGAAAACTGAAGACCAGACAGAGAGGCCTTCTAAGCCCAGAAGCTGGAACTTTCCCCCTAGTGTTCTCTAACTCAAGTCTACATTTCTCATTCCCATCACCGCTAACACCAGTGTAATCTCCACACCCAGGAGACATTCTATCAGTAATCACTTGGTGGTCTAATGTTATAAGAGGTTTTGATGTGAACTTCAAAGAGGCAGCAAACTGTCAATCCTGTGCCCTCCCCACCACTGGCTGCTAGAAGAAGCTGCCACACTTGCTGGCATGGCGAGGCCGCTCCTGCGCAGCAGTTTCTCTTTGGACTTCCCGGTCAGCACGCTTCCCTTCTGGGCCCAAGGGCCACGCACGTTTCCTGTACCTGGTACATGGGACCTAAGTGAATTAATACGTTTGGTGCTACACTCGAGGCACTGAGACTCCTGTCCACAGTCCACGTGCAACAGGGAAGGAAGCAAGGTCCCCAGAAAAGCCGGCAGCAAGAGTCTCTCCTTCTGTTGGGGCTGAGCTTATAAAACTTTTACAAAGTTTGCCCTGGCTGGTGTAGCTCCGTGGATTGAGCACGGGCCTGTGAAGCAAAGGGTCACTGGTTCGATTCCCAGTCAGGGCACATGCCTGGGTTGTAGGCCAGGTCCCCAATAGGGGACACGTGAGAGGCAACCATACATTGATGTTTCTTTCCCACTCCTTCTCCTTCCAGTCCCCTCTCTCTAAAAATAAATAAATAAAATATTTTTTTTAAAAAAAACCTTTTACAAAGTTTCTCAGTCAGGCTTGGACAGGATTTTATCTGTTTCCAATATGTATTGGATGTCATGTGCTAATGAAATCTCCTAATATCTAGTGAAACAGCCTCAACATATTTTCCCCTTTTCCTCTCTCTTTCCTGCTTTTTTGAGCTGATTAGAAAATTCACTATGCTAATATCTACTTAAAAAACAACCTTATTTTTTATGTTGCTTATATGTTAATTTTGGAGAAAAATACAAATAGGTGTACAAAATCAACAAAAAATACCCATAATCCTATAACACAGCAAACAGTTAGCCTTTTGGTATATATCTGTACTGACTTTCCTTTTCCCGTATTATTTTTTAGACAGCTCCACAGACTATTTTTTCACTTTATAGTTTCATGAAAACATCGCTGTGCAAATGGACACAACTTTCTCCTAATTCACGACAGCTCAAATCACCATAAACTGCTGGTAATCTGACACAAATCAATGCCCCCAAATCAAAAGTACAAGGTTACACAACACCCTCCGCTGTCTATTTGCTTGGAAAATCCCTTAAGTCCAAACGCCTCTTCCTCTGGACAGTCTTGGACCGCGCCAGGCAGACTGTGCTCTTCCTCTAGTGTTTCCACCACATTTTGTTCAGCCCCCAGGAGGCGGCTCCGTGCCTGCAGAGCATTGGAAGCTGAGCCAGGGGCCATAAACAACAGGAAATGGGGTGGGGTGACGGTAGAGGCGGTGTGTGTGTTTGTGTTCATCTGCAGGTGGCCTGGGCAGAGCCTCATGCTGCACCTGGAATAGAATCCAGGGGCTTCTGACCAGACGAGGGTCAAGTTTGGAGGTATGGCCAGGGCAGAGGGGGCCCCTGAGGTACAAAATGACTGGTCAGACTAGTGGGGGTGCCCTACCTGCTTGCCCTGGCCTAGGGGATAGCAGGGCAGGGTGGGGCAGACTCTAGCAGACAGGCCCCAGCCCGCCAGCCCCGTGGAGAGCCCCAGCACGCCAGGCAGCCTCCTGGCTGATCCGAAATGGATCAGGTTTCAGCAGGGTGTGTGTGAATGCGTGAGAAGGGACATGAGAAGGAGGAGACGGAAGTGGCAACTGGGACCTGCCTTTCCCCCTTAGATCCTGAGCATAGTAGTAGTTTGGGGACTTGGGGCTCTAGGAAGGCACGAGAGGGTTGGCCTAAACCTGTGCCTCTCACACTGCAAGGCTGGGACCCCAGGACCCAAGAGGCTGACCTGCCCGTAGGCCTACAGACTCCGACCAGTTAGGAAGGGCCACCCAGGATGCTCTGAGAGGCTCTTCCAGTTCATTTAATGCTCAGTAGTATGCCTGAGGCACTGGGTAGAAGGTGAGTCCCTAACTCCGGCTAATCACCTAAACCATTTCCTAAGGCCCAGGAGGACATCAGCCTCTACCCGGAGAGATGACAGGGGCTTATTAGAAGGTGAGGAATAGTTGTGTGTGGGCGACAGCAGACTCAGAGTAAGGTCTTCACCCCAGCCCCACCAATGCACCTGAAAAAGGTGCCTCCAGATATGGGTTTGCTGCATTAGGGCAACACACAGCTTCGGCTCTGCATCTGTGCGAGTCTGATTGGGTGGCCAACCCTCTAGCCACTGTACCCCAGAGGCGTGAACAGCCCCAAGGGCCCAAGACACAAAGGGAAGGCAGAAACCAGTAGTGGGTCCTGAGACCAGGGGCCACAGCACATTAGCCTGTTAGATTCAGCCATGGCTCTTGGCCCCCCAAAAGTGAGACTGTCATCCAGTGGGGTGAAAGCCAAACCCTACAGATCCATCTTCCCAGGCCCTGCTCTGGGAAGTGGCGAGGTGGACAAAGCAGAGGGACACAGGTTTCTAGAATCCACCTGGTCCTGTTTGCGACCTTGCTGTGGCAGTCCCATCATAAACAGCCCTGCACAATAAGACTTTGGTACACGCCCAAGCAAGCCAGCAAAGTGAGCACTTTGTAAATGCTGTGTCAAGCTTACGCTTTGCTGCCATTCCCCCTGCCAACCACCTGAATGAGTCCCATGGGAGAGAAGGGGGAGTGTGAGGAGAAAGGATGGTAGATCTGATGGGCAGGTGGACATATGTCCAGGGGAAAGCAGCCCAGAGGTGAAGAAGACAAACAGCAGGTACCACCCACATGTACTATTCCAAGCATGAGCACGAAGCTCCTGCCCAGTCCAAAACCTACCTGCCTGCCTACTCAGTGCCAGGTCCTGTGCTAGGGCTGGCTGGGGACCTAAAGGTAAATTAGCCTTGGTCTTTCCCTTAAAGGGCTAATAGTAGACATAGGTAAACAAATAATCATAAAACAATACGTCTGCACATCCTATATTTTGGAATAGGTAAGGATACAAAGGTCTTTTTAGATCAACTTAGGGTTATAGGAAAATCTGGAAGGAGATGATGACAAGACAGAGCTGAGCCTTGAAAGGAAAGTAAATGTGAGCCTGGTGGATAATGCTGAGAAGGCTACTCAAGGACAAGGGAAGTGTAGGCAAAAGCACAAGAGAGGAGAACCTTCCCGTCAGGATAAGGAAAGAGACTGCCGAGGCTGGGCAGAGTGAAGCACACCGGCCTGGGGCACAGGAGCGCTGGCCTGGTACCCCCTCCCGATGACTCTTCCCTCTAGTCCCACCCAGGCAGGTGGAGCAATGTGTGAAGAAGGAATGAGTGGGCAAGTACGTTCTCACTCTGAGTGGGTATAAATAAGGCAGATGAGGTGCAAACTGCACAGCGGGAAAAGGCCAGGGCAGGGCGTGCATTGGGACTGCCGGGTTGGCCTGGTGCCCTGAGGCTGTGTCAGGACCAATCTCAAGCTGGGTCATCGCTTAACCAGTGATGATCTGAGTACTTGGGGCACTCAGCTCATGCTCTTTCTTGTCAACACACCGCAGTGTAAGCACTTCCTTCTCTTGTAAGTACTTCCTACTTTTCATTCCATACTGTCCCAGCTGGGCTGACCCTACTGTGACTCCTGGGATAAGCATATGTCCCAGGCTGGCCAATCAAGAGACTGTATTTTGCTGTGTATAATGCGTACTTTTTCACCCAAATTTTTGAGGGAAAATAGGGATGCACATTATACATGGGTAGT